TCCATCCCCTGAAATGTTTTTCCCTGGCGATGTTCTCTTCACTGGAGGTAGGGCTTGTTTTTATGGAGTTTGTCCCTCTTTGAAATATATAGGCCGGTTTAAGGCAAAAGAAGGCTCCGCAGTGGATATGGGTAATTCAGGAGCTGCCCAACAAGCTGGAGGCGGGCGGGGGGGGGGGGGGTGTCCTGGCAGTGTCCCCACCAAGTGCTGTGGGACCCGTCCTGTGCCAGACCCAGCGGGTTGTGGTGCAGTTCCCCCATCAGCAGCAAGTCTGGGTGTGCTTTAACTGCTGTGAGAGATACCCAACTGCTGGGAACAGTAACTCCAAAAAACTGCTGGGTAAACAGTAACTCCATCAACCCCGCCACCAAGAGTCACTTGAACATGAGTCAAAGCTCTTGGTCACTTGGCTCAGTCTTCCTTTGCAGAACTGATTTTAGCTAATGAGGCACGAACACATGTGAAAGACCAGCCTTTACACCTGCTTCGGGGGGGTGGTGGTTAATCCAGTGGGTTTCCAGTGGCACCGTTAGCTAAAGGAGAAGCATCTCTGGGTGCAGCTACACCTTGCAGATGTTGAGCCTTGGAGTCCAGGCTGTTGTGGGTGTGTGACTGGCATAGTCGCACTGATCCTGGCTTGTCACCTTTCTCCATCACCTGCATTTTGAGTATGTAAGCCACAAACCTCAGTGCAGCATTTATGCCACGGTTAGCTTCTTTCATAAAAGTAAAGGTCAGGAAAACAGACAGAAAGGCGCTAATCTCTGCATAAATCTTTGTCTTTCCCATCATTTCTCTGTTGAATGCAGGCAGGACAATGCTCAGTGAGCTGTTCTGTGGTGCTGCCCTGAGTAACTACAGCAAAATTAACCACCTCCGCCGGCAGATGCACTGTAGCACTCGGGTCAGAATGTGCTTGTGTCAGGCTGGTTTTGGATCCAGACCTCTCCGTTATTCTTCTGTTTTCTTTTTTTCAAGTTTGCAAACTGTGTCCTCAGTCAGCACTAACCACAGGGAGAATTTCCACATGGAAAGTACAGGCGAGTTTCTTTACTGCTGTGCAGGCAGAGGAAGGCTCGATTTCGGCTGTAACAGGGAGAGAGCTGTTCTGTTCCACCCTTGCTGACCGTCTAGGTCTGAAAGCTTAAAAAGGCCAGCTTATTCCTCAAGTCCTCACGTAACCCCATGTATGGCATTTGCCCCAAGGCAGTGAAATTCCAGCAACTTGATACTTCAGGCTATGACCTTTGAAGGGTTAAGGGAGGCCCAGCTGCAACCTCCTAAGCTCCCTTTGATGCTCAGTTAAAGCCAGGACAGCTGCACTTGTAATAGGGCTGAGTTGGGTCCTTTGGGCTCTGCCAGACCGCCAGGACATGAGTATTGTCCCCTGGGATGGGACATGGCCTTAGAGATGGAGCCCTTCGCTTTCCTGAGCTGTGATAACCGGCTCTCCTGGTGGAGACTTTCCTGAGCTTGCTGTGATTAAAAGCTGATTCCTGCACAAGAGGGAAAAGCAGAGGAGAGGAGGGCTGGAAAGCCTTCCCTTGCATGAAGGCGAAGCTGCCCGTGTCTGTCCGGCAGCGCTGGCGGGGAGGGCTGGAGCTGGAAGGAATGTGGCTACGTCTTGGCGGAGGAGCGCAAGTGGGAGTTTCTGGCGGAGAGGGAGCGACTGGAAAGCAGGTTTGCACAGGGTGACCGATCTTCTCTGGTCCCCGCCTGCCTTCCTGTCCTCCCCCCTGCCCGAATCCTCTCTTGCCAGCTCTCTTGGCCTGGAGGTTGTTCGGCGGTTGCTGCAGCCAGCTGGATCTTGCAGGTGGGGGTCACGGGAACCTGTGCCCCTCGCTGTGCCAGGTCTGCCAAATGGCAGTGACAGCCCCCAAGGTGGGGAGGCATTCCCTGTGTCTCCATCGAGAAACCTCCTCTGGCTAACGGCTCCGGGAAGCAACGTGGCTGGGTGGAACGAGGCCTGGGGTTCAAGGCAGGGATGAAAAACCTTCACTTGGCCCCTCTGGGTACCAGCTTTCCCACTGGGTTCAAACAGCCTGGCAAAGTGACCATCCCTGATGGGACCTGCCCAGGGCTTTGCAGCTGGGAGCGACCCTGTGCAGGATCTGACCCTACGGCTCTGCCTGGAGCACAGCACACCCAGCAAGGGCTGTACAGCAGGGGGACATCACAGCTTAGCCAGAGCTCTTCCAACGTGGATATTTTTAGCCCATGCAAATGGCAGTGTTTATTTTTCCACTGTTGTGCCTTTTCACCTTTCCCAGGCATTTTATTGCTCATGAAAGCAAGGGCCTTAGAGCCATGTGAGTGTCTCTGCTGGCCGCTGCAGTGGCCCTGTCTGCCTCCATCTCTCCAGCTCCATCTGCCCGTGCATTACCCATCCAAATTCCCCCAACGAGCCCATTTACAGTGAGGTGACAGGCTGTGACTGGCAGAAGCACCTCAGCTTACCTTGGACCAGACTCTTCCCTGGGGCTGGGATGCCTGTGTTACAACTTGAACACGTGCATGAGGTTGGCGATGCCTGTGTGATCCCCCTCAGCAGGATGGGACAAAACAGAGGAACGTTGCAAGCTCGTTTATTGTCAGTGTTTCAAATCAGTATTTTTTATTACAGAGACTCATCAGGTTGCTCACACTGTGGCAGGAATTTAATAATATAAGGCACAGGGAACACTCAGAGGTAAAAAAAAAAAAAAAGAGTTCTCAGCCTGTGAGACTGACATCCCTTCGCTCCTGTCAGGACCCCCTCTATAAAGCAAAATCCAAATACCTTCTCCCTTCCCTCCTGCCCATCTCTTAAACCCCAACATCCACAACAGGAAAAAAAATATTACAGCCTTTCCCTCGAGCGTGTGGCAAGCACGCCGCTTTCCGAGCAGAAACGTCCCTTCCAAGACTGACATAGCTTCCCTGGGAGAGCAGGGCTGGAATTTAAACACGACCAAGGCAGAGGTGGGAAGTGCTCAAGGGCACTGTGATCTGGGGAGAGCCAAGAGCTTTATCTCAGCTACAGCAGAATCGCAACAGCAAGGTCAGCCACGCGTACCCCGGGGGAACAGGCGGCCGCACCCAATCTCCCTTTGCAGCACAGAAAAGACAACAGCAGTACGGTCACTGAGTAACGGTAAAGCACATAGCACTTTCAAACCTTTATTTTACGAGGGGAATTTACAAGATGGGATGCATTTCATCTCATTTGTTTTAAATTTTGTGCGCTTCCCTATTTGTTTGATTAGCCCTTTCTTTTTTTTTTTTTTTTTGGTGCCCAATGATTGTTAAATTCAAGCCCTGGGAATGAAAAAAAAAAACCAAAATGGAAAACAAAATCCTGCCACTCTACGTCTTTCTCACCCCTCTCCATCCCCTCTACCATGAGCTGGGTGACCACAATGTCACCCCCGGCTGCTCTGCCCAAAAAGCCCAGTCCTCCTACATCCTCCAGCTCTGCCTTCCCTTGCTGGCGGTCTGTAACTGGGGGCGGTGAATTGGCTGAGTGGTCTTTGCATCTACGCTGACGTGTCCAAGAACGTGCTGTTAGTAAGAAGTTAAGAGAAGTCAATCCGAGAGTGGATACCGAGACGGATATTCAAGACAGCAACAGGGTTGGTCAATGGTAAAGACACGTCGGAGAGAGAAAGCGCTGGTAAGAGCGTGTGTAATCTAGTGGTGATAGATTAGGCTATGAACGAGGACTGTTATTTCTCTTAGCACCATTACTACGTATGTTTAGATCTATATTAGCACCTTGTTCCCAGGGAAAAAAAACAAAACAAAACCAAACAAAAGCAGTTTAAAAACCAAAGGAAGTGGGAAGGTTAAAACAAGACAAAGTTGGCAGCAGAGAAGGAAGCTGGGGGTTTAGATCACAAGATCCTTGTCTATGTCCTCTGTGGAAGGAAAAGAGAGAGATGAGGTTAGGAGATGGATGCTGCCAGGGTCCCACTCCTCCTGCAATCCCCCCTCCCTACTCTCCCTTGTTTTTCCTTCCCCAGGACTGGCTGTAATGCATTGCTTAATCCTGAGTGGGGGCTTTGGGGATGCTTTTCAGTGTCCCCTCCACCCCAATACTGTCCCTACTCAGTACTTACGCTCCTTAATGCCGAAGCAGCTGGCCCACTCCTCCAGGGCGATGTACTTGTCATTGTCCAGGTCGCAAGCCTCAAAGAAGCGAGTGGTGCAATGCTCCATGGGGATGAGGGGGGCACGGAGGGGGGCCAGCTCGGTGTGGGACAGGTACCTGCCAAGGGGACCGCATGGTCAACATGTCGCCCGCCAGAACCAGCCGCCCTCCCACAGCCGGGGAGATGCTCTGCTGGGTGTGGGGACCAGCACAGGGCAAGATGCTGGCCCCAGCTCACCGCTTGGCTTTGATTGCTGTCCCAGTGCCCTCCCAGTATCTGCCACTGAGTGTCATGAAGGTCAAGGACTGGTGTCTGCTTTTGCAACCAGCTGTGCTAGTCACAAAATAGCCAGCAGCTGGGGGTCCTCACCAGCTGCCCCCCACCCCATGGGTCTGTGTGTGTGAATGCTCTCGCGCCCATCTCCAGCTCACAGCTAAGCCAGCAGCTGCTATTTCAGCTGCTGAAGTTATCCCGGGGCCTTTGGACTAAGATATTTTAGGGAACTATCATACAACAGTAAACCTGAGAAGACAGAAACTCCACACCCAAGGGAGATGGGAGCAGCTGGGGCTGGGGGAGGCCCCTCTTTCTGCAGAAGAGCTGTTTGCAGAAGGCAAAACTCCCTCGACCCCAGCCTGGTTTGCCCCAGCCCCTGCCAGATGTGTGCAGGGGTTGTCCCTCCACAGGGCTGTGCCTGTGCCTCTGCCACAAGCCGTTCACTTGTGTCACATCTCCATCCTGCCTCGACACCTTCTGCCACCAAATCACCCTGGTCCTCAGGCAGGAAAGGGTGCTGGTGGGGGCCCCGATCCTGCTCTGCTGGCACTCACCCATCGATGGGGTGCTGGTCCAGCTGCCCGAACTGCCAGTGCACGGGGAAGATGTACATGTTGTAGTTCTTCTCAAAGTCGCGGGCCAGGAGCTCCACGGTGTGGTCACCAGCCTCCAGGCGCTTCTCGTTCTCGTGGATCTTTTTCACCTGACATAGGAGAGGCCGGGGAGACCTTGTCAGTAGGAAAAAAAGGGCGGGCCCTGGGAGGGCCTTTACATGGGGTGCCCACAGGTTATTCTGGATGGGCTCCCCATGTGTGCTGGGGTCCGTTGGTGGGGTGAGTTCCCAGGCTCCCTTCCCACTCCCTCACCTTGAGCTTCTGCTTCTCGGTCAGCAGGTTGTTGTCCTCATCGCGCTCATACAGGGTGATCAGCACGTTCTTCAGCCAGTCCCGCATGCGCAGGGGGAACTCGGTCAGCTCTGTGTCCAGGCAGGCGGGGATGACTGGAAGTCAGACACGATGGTCAGTGCAATGCCTGGACACACAGCCCCCGACCCCAGACACACAGCCCTGGTGCCATCCCACCTCAGCCCTGGGCCTGCCTGGACCTTTGCTCGCCCTCAGCCCATGGGTAAGGGGGCTGTGCTCAGGTTAGGGTTCCCCTTGTCTAAGGGAATGGCTCCACTTACATTTGCAAGGCCCGATGTAGTCCAGGTGCAGCTTGTGTCCCTTCTTGGTTCCCTCCAAGGTGCACTTGGTGGCAAAGAAATGGCAGGAGGAGTCATAGGTCTTGTTGTCAGTGCCGCAGACCTGCATGGGATGGGGAGATGCTGTGTGAGAGGCAGCGAAGCCCAGCCTTGCTGGGGAGTCAGCAGGGAGAGACTCCAAATGAGGTGTTTAACTTGTTTCCTGGGGTGGACAACGGCTCCTTGGCCACCACCAGCCGAGGCCAGATGGGGACCTGCCACCCTGACTCTGAGTGTCTGCCCCACCATCTCTGCCAACGTCCCATGTGGGGTCCCTCCCCGCTCCGGTCCCTCAAGCAGCTTCTGCCCTCACCTTCTCAAAGACGCCGGTGGTGGCTGGGCAGCTGGAGGGGTCCTGGCACACACACATGGGCGAGTTGTTGTCATCCACCTCGCACACCTTGCCGTGCTTGCAGTGGTGGTTCTGGCAGGGGTCTAGGAGAGGGCAGGGAGCAGAGTCAGAGCCTGCTCCATCCTCACCTCCCATGAGCTGCCCAGGGCATCTCAGCACAGAGGGAAGACAGAGACTTCAGCAAGGACAGCCCTGAGCATCTCTTCTTGCACTTGGAACATGTGAGGATTTCCAGAAGTCAACGTTAGCCCTCAGGCTAATCCTGGGCTCCTTTCTGCAGCCACACAACGCAATGGCTTTTCTGTTGCAAAAATGAGCCTACAGGGAATCCAGTGCTCGAAAGAGGCCATGCACCTCTTTTGCCTTTAAGTGTGCATCTAGGTTGGCATCATCCTTGTGCTACAGTCCTTCCCAAAGAAGTCCCTCACTGTTTGGGGTGACTAAAGCTCCCTCACCCAGGGAAGGGACGATGTCTCTGCCTGCTGGAGGGCAGGGGAAGAGCCACTTACTCTCTGTGACAATCTCCTCTACGTCCTCCGTGGGTTCCTCAAACTCTCCCACCTCCACCTGGACAGGGTTAGCCCCCACAGGCTCCTGCAAAAGAGGTCAGTGTTTCTGGTGGGGGTGCACAAGGAGCTCGGCCCCAGCTCCCAAGAGGCAGAGAAGCCCCCCAAATTGCCCCTGCTCCCTCATGCTTTGGAGATGCTCTTCCCAGTGTGGTGGGTGCTGCAAGGGATGGGTGACAAGGAGAAGCAGAATCACCTACCTCTGTGGTGGGGTCTTCAATGACCTCCGTCTCATCGGGCAGAGCCTCCTGCTGCGGGGGAAAAGGACCATGAGCTGGAGTCCACGGGGAGGACAGTCCCAAGGGGGGGGTGACCCGCTGGGACAGGCGGTAGGGGCACCCTTGGGTTTCTTCTCCCCCCGCTGCTCCCCATCCCTCAGGGTTTTATTCATTATAAAAGAAAATCTGCATTAGATCCATTGGACGGACAACCCTGACAGCAGAGAGGCTCTGTTGTCTCCCATACTTACCGGAGCTGCCAGGGCTTTGCCTGCCAAGCAGAGAAGGAAAAAAATCCAGGCCCTCATCTTTCAGCGAACCCTGAATAAAGGAGAGGAAGAGGAGGGATGAGGAAGGAGGCCGCTATGTGCTGCTCGGCTCCAGGCTGAGCTCATGGCTGGCAGTCAGAGACTTAGAAAAGGGTGTTCTCTTTGTTTCCTGCCTCGTCTGTTCAATATTACAGACACACATGCTGGCTTTTCTAGCCAAAACGTTAAGCCAAATCATGTTTCCAAGACAAATTCTTTTAATTTTGCAAAATGGGACGGCAGGGCTTTAGATTTCTGTTGCTTTCCTGGATGCCTTTAGAAAAATTGCAGTCAAAATGGCAGTTAGCCTTTTCTTCACAGGAGTTGTTTTGGAACAAAAAAAAAAACATTTTTCATGTTAAAAGCCCCTGATATGAGCCCCAGGTACAAGCAGTGAAACTCCCTACTGTTTTATTTGTCGATCAGAGGAAAAATGAAAGTGGAGGAAGGAAAGACAGAACAGAAAGACGGTGAGACAGAGCACGTGAGAGTTAAATTCTTTAGAAAACCCCTTCCCACATGGACACAAACATCTCTAGGGGTATCAGGGACCACTCCCCCATCCCCAGCACTCCCAAATGTTGGGGTCTCTACTATAGTTTTTCCCTTTCTTGCTCAGACCTGAGGGCACCCAAACTCGGTTTGAGGGATCCAAGATGTTTTGGGGTTGTGTCCTGCCAGGAGATGAGCTCCAGGAGGATGAGCCCTTTGCACCCTCCCAATTTGGGCTGTCACAGGGACTCTGTCAGACGAATGAGCCAGGCAGCCCAGCTAACACTGGCCACGATGTGAGCCAGAAGGAGAGTGCAGCTGGTGAAATCACCCTGTCCTTGTCCCCCCTGCCGGTTCCTGTTTGGCAGGATTGAGCCCCTCTGTGTGAGGGCAGAGAGAAGCTCAGCTGGCCGCTTAATATGCCGGTGGCATCTCACTTCTGACAGCGAGGGCTGCCTGCTCCCTTCCGCCTGCCGGGAGAGCGAAACACCCCCGGTTTGTCTCCTGCCAGCGAGGGGACTTGTCCCCCTGCCAAGGCTTCCGCTCGCCCTCCTCCGCTCCACCTGCGTGGCTGGGGCATCGCAGCCCACAGGCTCCCTGGGGCTGGGCGGATAGATGGCTTTGCTGGGACAAAAAGTGTTGGATAACGTGTCTTCTTCTCTCCCAGCGAGCATGGATGGATATCTGATTTGTGAGTGCATCCCTTCCCTTCCTCCCCGTGCATGGCAGCTCGCTGGGTATAAGACCATGCCAACGCTGTGCTGCCAGGGCACCAGCCAGGCTGGGCTGTGCTTCCTAATTTAGCAAGGTTTGGCCACGCAGAAGCTGAAATCCTCCTTCCAATCTCAGTGCCTCATCCAGCCCTGGCGATGTGCCCATGCAAAAAGGTGTCAGGGCATGGAGGGCAGCTTCCCAAGGATGTTGGAGGGCTGGGAGCATGGGGTGGTGGGGACGGCTGCCGTGATGGGATGGAGGACTTGTGGGAAGAGGGGCTGCGAGTGCGGATGGATGAGCCCGTTTGCTCTGGCGAGGCTGCAGCTGAGCAGCTCCCTCCTCTCCTGCTCAGTACATGCTGTCCCTTCCCCTCGCCTTTATTTGCTCTGGAGGCTGCTGAGAGCTCTCCTGGCATTTGCTAGGGGAGATCACTGGTTCTTCACTTCTAGAGGGGTGGTTTGGAGGGGGGGAGGTGGAAAAGTACTGGTGAATCTGGCCATTTCCTCCTTTGCTGCCATCCCTTGGCTTGTAAAGGCTCCTCCTGGTATTCTCTCAAGGGGTTTGTTTGCTTTGGAAGATGCTCTGAGGTTCAGTGATGCTCGTTGGGCAGACACATGGCAGTGCCCAGCCTGGAGGAGAGGGCAGTGCATGTACATGTGGAAGATGGCATTAAGAAGAACCTAACCCCAGACGAAAGCCATCTCAGATCATTTCCCCAAGCACCCCCCCCAAAACCTGAATTTCAAAGTCTGGGCATGCAGTAAGCTGGAGTCTGGGAATTACATGCTTGCTAGGAAGCTAGCAGACAGTCAGAGCTGCCAGTGTTGTGTTTGGAGGAAGAAGGAGAACGAAAGAGTCTGAGCAAACAAGCTCTGCAGAGCTGTCTCGCGCCGGAGATGGGAAAAACAAGTTTATTTGAAAAACAACATCCTCCTGGAGGCAGAGCCTCTGCACAGAGGACATTGCAGGGTCTGTGAGCCGCTGGCTGTTGTGGAAAGGCATGGTCTTTCCTGAATGTCTGGTGGCCATAAGTCCTGAAATAACAGCTCAACAGCCCTGCGCATAGAGCTGCTTCGGCAGAAGAACCTGGCCCATGGTGCAAGTCTCCCTCCTTATGGACCTACCATGGTCCTGCTGTCCAAGAGGATGCTCTTTGGAGCTGGCAGCTGGGCTGTACCATGAACTCAGCATCCATCCCGCAGCTGGAGGGGCTTGGGGGGATCCCTGCGCTGGGAATGCCTGGCACTGCTCTGCGAGAGCCCCACAGAGGGGAGAGGGCAGCGTGAGGGGCAAAGCGATGGGGTGCAGCAGGGGGTCATTTTGGACAGAGAAAAACAGCACTGGGAAAGAGATTTTACCAAGCAGGGACTTATACCCTTCTGTATCCTGAAGGAATCTACAGAAGTCAGCATTTCACAAGACGCTGGAAAGCAGCACATCTTGGGCACAGACAGGGCTGCTGAATATAAAATAAGAGAAGCTTGCACGGTCACTGCCCCCTCCTCAGGCCTGCCCTCCTGACTGCTGATGATGGAGAAGACAGCCTGGCACCCATGGGCTGCAGGACCCATGGCCTGCACTGCCTTTCTAACACTTTACCCCACTTGCATCCTAAGTGGGGACTTCAGCTCTCAGTCGCCGTGTAAACAGAGTCTTGTGGTTCCCATAAACCCCTCTCAATGGTTCACCTTTCTAGCACGGCCCAGGCTATCCCTCAGCACTGGCTGCTCATTGTGTTTTGCAGACCTGTAGAGCCATGGGGTGTAGAGAGGTCTCTAGTATGACCCTCAGCACCTCCATAAATTCAAAGCAGGCTACTCTGGCAAAATCTTTACCACCCTTCTCCCAATCCTGTAGCACCATCATAAGTTTCTCCTGCTGGGGAAAACATCATGCAGGGAGGAGAGTCTGTGCCGCTGGGTTCTGTTGGTCCCTCTTGTCTCCTCCTGCCCAGCCTGGGGGCCTTTGCGGGCTGGGGGAGGACAAGGACCAGGCGGGTACAGCCTCCGGAGGAGGCTCCGTGGATGGTGGACCGTGGCCCATGTGGCGCTGGCCCCGGCCAGGGTTGCATAAGCCCTTTGGGATGCCACGTTAGCGTGGGGAGGAGTCTCTGCCTGGCCACTTTGACAGCCCCTCCCTGAGACCACTTGGATAACCCTGGCTGCCACCACCACTAAAACCAGTTGAGGGGCCCCACTGCCACCTCCCATCGCCAGCAGCGGAGAGCAGGAGTGGGTGATCATTGGGCAAAAACTCTCCCATGTCACAGGTCCCCACCTGCACCCCAGCCCAGCCACGTGGGAGGCAGCCAGGCTGAGCGGCAAGGTCTGCTGCACCCACCCTCCATTTGCTCATTGCTCGTCCAAGGCTCTGCAGGGTCTGACATGCCCCAGAACCTCAGACTGAATGTAAAGGTAGGACCGGCCCCGAAAAAGCTTCTGCCTACAAACTCCACGGTGGGCCACAGTTTTCAAGGTGCAGATGGGTGACCAAGTGTGGCCACCACAGAGACACAACGTGAGGGCTGTGACCCCACTGCCTGGCCCTGACCTCCCCATGCAAGCAAGACCCTCTAAGCTTTACTCAGCCAGCCACTCCCCAGCTAAAATTTGATTTGAAGTCAGAGTGTTTTGCCTGAGTCCCTGTAAAACTCCCGGCTGAACAGGTCCCTGTGTGTCCAGGCAGAGCAGTATGTCCCCTCGCAGGCAGCGTGCAGGATCAGAAATCCAAGCTAGGTTTAGATGGAAGGGAAATTCCCTTTAGCTCATGCACACACTCACACACTCCAAGTAAAACACAGGGAAAAAAAATAAAAATCTGTCTACCACATCTGTCCATACAGAGTCATTAAAGACACATCTACACCACAAGGCTGTATTAACCCATTCCCCTTGCAGGGAGTTGAGTAGCTCTGATTGCACTTATAAATGCTCCAGATCTTACAGGGATTATTGATATAAGGGCGAGAGCCACTATCGTTGTGTGCTGGCTTGAAGCTGTCATAGTTTGTCTAGGTTGCAAATTGCATCCATAATGGGAAACAATTAAATTAATCCTGAGAAAAGTGCGTGGATGAGACCTGGGCTGCAAGCGGCGGGTCAGGGATGAGGCCTTTGCAGACGTCAGTACGA